ACTAAGAAAAAAAAACTCCTCTGAGGAAATGTAATTGGCTTTTTTTTTTTTACGTATATTCAAATAGTGCTGGGTGATATACCGGTTCAAACAGTAAACTGGTTTGAATTACCCACACGGTATAAATAAAAAAAATAAATAAAAATGGCTAAGCAGCAAAAAAAGAGCATCATGAATTGAGGGATCCCTGTTAACTGCATACACTTCTGACAATTTGGAGAACTTTTAGAACTATTAATAGCACACAACTAATTCTTTAACTGGGCAAATAAACCAACTGTGAACGGTGGTTAACAGAAGTCAGAGATGCTGATGACAAATGCAAAGAGGAGAAAATACTGTGGCTGGCAGAGCAAACTCTGTTCATGATGCATGACATATTGGAAGAAAATCCTAAATACTGAAATAGGGGAGGGGGTTTATATGAACTGACTCTCTTGAGAAAAGTTTCGATGTTCTTTTTGTTTTTTTTATCTCCATATAAAGGCACAGTCCAGGAAAAACTGTGACCGAAAGAGTACTGAAACCGCCAGAATCCTACAAAAAAAACATGATACAGATTGTTGGACAAACCGTCCAGCAGCACTATTAAAACCACCTAGTTTTATTAGGCACATTTGTTTTCTTAAAAATAACACCTTACATACTTTATATATACACAGCACTAGTAAAATAAATAAACGGTTCTAATATAAAATAAAAAAAATCTGAACAACTACATTGCAATAAATACTTTCTAAGAAAAATATTAAATAACAACAATTAAAAATATTGAAAAAGCAAATAAAATGAAACGTATATATTGTATTTAAAAAAAACTAAATAAAGCAAATGGGGCATACACATAAAAAAATATAAATTATATTCCCTCCAAAATATATATATAATATAATAAGTATACATTAAAAATGTAAGTGATATTTGTCTTAAAGCTTGAAGATATGAAGGACACAATGGCAGAGCTGGAGAAGTTTGACAACATGCAGGTGATAAAGAAGGATCGAGAGAACCAGCGTGTTAAGAGGGACCTGGAACAGTGCAAAAATGAGCTCAAGGCTACATTACCACCTCCTATAGTTCCCCCAGGTACACTAAAGATCCCAATAGTCCCTTAACTCAAGCTTCCTGAGCATTTGCATTATTATCCAGCTTAAGAAATGCTCAAGACTTTTAGTTCTGTTTTTCTTCTGTGTTTTCAGGACACTGTGGTCTGGGTGAAATGGTCGGTGTTGGGGGACCTAGAACGTATTCCATCACGGTATACAGCACCTCCTACCCTTATGGTGCTTGGGGTCGAGATGCAAAACCCGCTCCAGGAGACGAGAACAAGTACTGGCTGGTGGTGCTGACAAGTAGTAATGTATATGGCTACTATGTCCGGCAGTACAGCACCTTGAGTACTCTTTTATTAGGTATAGGACCAAAAGATACATACATATCAAGCTCCAATCCCACAACAAACACAATTCAGGGGTCAAACATGGTCATGTACGCCAATGCACTCTACTATAACTGTTACAACAAATACTCTGTCTGTCAGTTCAACATGATGACTCGTGCTGTCAGTACTGTGGCTTTGCCTAGTGATACAGGTTACAATAGCAAGTTTCCATTTGCACACCTCGGCACAACATACAGCTATACTGATATGGATTTTGCCACAGATGAATCAGGCATTTATGTCATATACGCAACCACAAGCAACTTTGGAAATGTGGTTATCACTAAAATTGAGACTAGTAACCCACCAGTTTTGGGCCAAACTTGGAAAACGTCTTTGTACAAAACGACTGCAACAAATACCTTCATGGTGTGCGGTGTGCTTTATGCTACTCGTTACCTAGATAAAGAAACAGAACAGATCTTTTACTCTTATGACACCAAAACAAAGGAAGAGCGCTTTGATTTGAAAATTAATATTAAGAAGATGCAGACTAATATTGAGTATCTTAACTATGATCCCAGAGATCATTTGTTGTATGCCTACAGCGATGCCTACATTGTAACTTATGAGCTTGTATTTAAGTAATTTTCCAATGACTTAATTCAAGACATGAGAATATGGCTGCATCCTATTTCACATACTGTCTGTACTGTATTGTATGCAAGGTTAGAATTTGTTATCTTATGCTAAAAACAGTATTCCAAAGAAACCCACATAGTACAGTAGATAGCAATTTTTCACAGTGTGTATTATTTGCAGGGGGTTTAAACATATGAACTCAAATAACTTTAAAATAATGAATTTAGATGCTAATGCAAGAAAATAAATCTATTAGTTGCTAATTTATTGGTTTTTACAAACAGATTGCAACAATTTTTAGTGGTATATAGAATCAAGTTTATACAATTTTGTTGTATACATATGATGACTTGTGTCCTATCTTGCCATACATTCAAAATTCTGTACTTTCACCATCACCAGTGAAGTATGTACTTTTACTTTATAGAAGTATGTGAATTGAATTCCAGCCTATGTTGTTTTTTTTTCGCTATGCACACATCTTTAAATGCTTAGCTTTGTTACGTGAGGTGAAGAAATTCACAAATGAATCGCAAATTTAATTTCTTCAAATAAATTACAGCAGTTTATACAATGAGTGTATTGAATTACTTCTGTAAACAAATTACAGTACATACATTTAAAAAAAAAAATTGTTAAATTGACAAAACGTCATTATTACATAAGTCACTTTAAAAGTCAAAATTATGAGATAAAGTAATAGTTATGGCAAAGGATAATTGTGACATAAAGAGCTGAAACTGAGATTGCTGAAAGTCAAAATTGTGAGATAAAAAGACATTATGACATAAAATGACATACTTTTTGTCAAATTTATGATATAAATTATATCAAAGAATTTGAGCTTTTTATCTGTTATATTTGTCATTATTTTGACTTTTTGTCCCCATTTGTCATAATTTTTTCTTTTTATCTCATAATTATTACTATCTCATAATTTCAGCTTTTTATCTCATAATTATTTGTCATAATCTTGACCTTTTGTCATAATTCCGACTTTTTATCTAATAATTATGACTTGTCATAATGGCTAATTTTGTCGACTTAGTATCTCATAGTTTTGACTTCTTATGTCACAATTATGATCAAAGCATTATTTTTCTCCTATGTGGCAGAAAAAAACCTCCACGAAAGCGACTTAAAACTATACATATTTTTTTTTGATATATTATTTGTGTTCATTGCGAGTCGATACCAATTAAGCTACAAGAAAATAAAACAAAAGCCCTTGTAATTTTTGTATATCCATTTTTATTTGTTGCACGTTCAGTTTTTTTAGTACACAGACAGTGACAGCTTGTATATAGATGTACATACATCATAAACACATTAGTTTTTGTAGTTTTCTTATGGTAAAGCAGGTTAAGAGTGACACTTGCTGTATCTTTAGACTTATTTGTAACAACTAGCCCCTATCCAAACAATAAACACAGACAACTTATTGCTTAATATAAAACAATGGCTAACTGTAACAATTGTAATCATATTATTAGTATTAATAATACTCATTGAATCCTCACAAGAATAGATGCAACACATGGTTAAATAAGAACTACTGTATTATAAAAAGAAGAACTCAAAGGAAATCCAAAGTATAACAGTTCCACATGACAAGGCTAGTGGTACGGACCTATTTTTAGATTTATGCCCTAAAAACAGCGAATATCTACAGCATAGAACATAGATTGAGAAGGAGAAGGGTGCAAGGGAAGGTGGGTGTGGCAGGTCAAACTGGTGTGAGCCCTGATTTAAGAAAAGGTGATATGGGGCCACACTGACAATACTGTACAGCACTTCCAAAGGACATTATACATTCAGGGCCCCCAGGCAGAGATCAGGGATCAGGAAAAAGTGCACCTTTGAAAGGTGGGCATGCTCTTTATCTCTTAATAAGAGCTAACGACTGCATACTTCAGACAGGAAATCAAGAAAAACGACACAAACACAAGGTTGCATTATCAAAACTCATGCAAATCAATACTGGGGAAGAACGAGTGTTTGTCCATTGTCTTTAGGAGGAAACCCATCGATATTTTGTGTTTGACTTTCACCCTCCTGCTTTGAACACCCTCCTTTCGTTCCTCCTCTCCCTCTCTTTCCTCTGTCACATTCACTGTTTATTCCATATCATGCATTCATTTTTCTCTTTGTACAGTATCTACAGTACTGCGCCCAGCTTTGCACGGAGTGAGGTCGATCACGATGCGTTGCCTGGGTCGATAGCCCTTTAGGGGCGACTGGAAGTGTCTGTGAGGGGCGGGGCACCTTGTGTTTTGGGGGTTGGGTTTGTTGGGGGTGGGATTTGCCCTACATTCCGAGCTTGGAGCATCATGCTCCAGAAAGCCCCGCCCCTTACAGACAAACATGCAGGAAACACCCCTGAAAAGTCGTAATTGTGCACTTCCTGTTCGAGGAAGCCGCAGAAAAGCTGACATTCAATAAGACAGAAAAGCGTGAGTGTGGAATGGAAAGCCAACAGTTGCTCCGCCCTCATAAGTCCCACGTTAACTACGTCGGCCAATCAGATCTCAGCTCATGTCAGTCACCTCTGGAACTTGATTCAAATAATTTGTTCGTTCATTAGTTTACTCATTTGTTGGCTCATTTATTCACTCATTTGTACATTCATTCATTCATTTATTTCTTTTATTTGTGCAATTGTTTAGGTGGGGTTTTTCTCCCAAAATTTTGTGCAGTTTGTGTACATAAATCAATAGATTTTTAAGTCCATACTTGGAAAAATCTAATGATTTATGTACACAAACTGCACACATTTTTTTCACAGACTTTGATGACACGTTTCCAGTTATTAAAATTGCAAATCTAGACATTTTTTCATATAACACTATACTTTGTGTTATGTTACCTTGGCTGCTGCTATGTAGGTATTTCAAACAAACGGGAAGTGAAAAGGGAGTGACGTCAAACTTGACATCATTTTCTCTTCTGACACCATAATCAATCTCTTCATTTTTTCCATATTTGTAACGTCATAGAAACACTATTGTTTTTTTTGTTTGTTTATTGCTATTGGAGCAAATGGGAACACAAAACATATATTTGTAGTTTCCATTCACCACTTTAGAAATTGATCAAACTATAATGAAAATGTGGAAATGTTACAAGGGTCACAAAAAATAAGTAAATGTGAATCTACAGATCTATAGTAAATTATGAAATAAGCATGCACTGAATATGGATCGATTCTAATGCATATAAATCTTTCAGTGTTGTTTATATGCAAGTTGCATGCAAGTACATGAATTGTGTGTGTGTGTGTGTGTGTGTGTGTGTATACATACAAAAGCCCTGTTACCTTGCAGAGCCCAGCCCTCATTGGGAAATATGTATGTGTGCATTTGTGTGTGCATTTGTATCAGTAGCTTTGGTATATTCCTGGTGCGGGGCTGGGTGCTGCAAGGGAAGTGTGAGGCCTTGATTCTGTACTGCTAACGCACTGCAAACTCTATCACACAGGCTCTGCCTCAGTCGACGGTTCTGGTTTGGTTTGGGTCAGAAGCCGATTGTCTATAAAATGGAGACCTACAGAACCGATCCCAGGCAAAGCCACTTTCATATGACAGCGAGTGCACACTAAAAGGGTACTAGGCATGTAGTATTTAATGAAATGAGACTTGATTTGAAAGTGTGGTTGATCGTATTAGTGCTTAATATGAAAGGAATGGCAATATTAAGCATTCTAACATGACAAAAGACTATTTAAGGCAAGTCAGCGGTCAAGTCATACAACTTCTGTTCCTACTTTAATGGAGAAAAACAGTTCAAAAGCATTGTTCATGCTTTAATAACATTTTAAATTAGAAAACCAATCATAGTATCAAATAATGCAAAAAAACTCTATCAAAAAGCGATTCTTTCTTACAGTATGTGGTGATACATACCCTCCCAATGACTGAATGAGCTGAGATGATTAGCCGAAAGCTACTGTTTACTGGATAAGAGATTTTTACCCTTTTCGGCTATACAATCGCTTTGCTTTCGCTCAAAATTGAGAGGGAGAGCTACAAATGTTACTTATAAATCGCTCTCTGGTTTAAGAACTCTCCTTTCTTCTTTCTTTTGCTTTGTTTCATGCTGTTCCTCAAGACCGATCCCTTCTACCTGTGACCCAATCCATCAGTTTCTCCTCAAAGACTGTCATAGGACAGGAATGAGTGAGAGCAGGGGCTGATGGGACTTGTGGTTTTGTCTTAGGAGGAGGTGAAGGCCAGAGGCAGCGAGCAAAGGGTGCAG